TACAGTCTACTCCCCTTCCCACCTCTACAGTCTACTACCCTTCCCACCTCTACAGTCTACTCCCCTTCCCACCTCTACAGTCTACTACCCTTCCCACCTCTACAGTCTACTACCCTTCCCACCTCTACAGTCTACTCCCCTTCCCACCTCTACAGTCTACTACCCTTCCCACCTCTACAGTCTACTACCCTTCCCACCTCTACAGTGTGCTACCCTTCCCACCTCTACAGTCTACTACCCTTCCCACCTCTACAGTCTACTACCCTTCCCACCTCTACAGTCTGCTACCCTTCCCACCTATACAGTCTGCTACCCTTCCCACCTCTACAGTCTGCTACCCTTCCCACCTCTACAGTCTACTACCCTTCCCACCTCTACAGTCTACTACCCTTCCCACCTCTACAGTCTACTCCCCTTCCCACCTCTACAGTCTACTACCCTTCCCACCTCTACAGTCTACTACCCTTCCCACCTCTACAGTCTGCTACCCTTCCCACCTCTACAGTCTACTACCCTTCCCACCTCTACAGTCTACTACCCTTCCCACCTCTACAGTCTGCTACCCTTCCCACCTCTACAGTCTGCTACCCTTCCCACCTCTACAGTCTGCTACCCTTCCCACCTCTACAGTCTACTACCCTTCCCACCTCTACAGTCTACTACCCTTCCCACCTCTACAGTCTACTCCCCTTCCCACCTCTACAGTCTACTCCCCTTCCCACCTCTACAGTCTACTACCCTTCCCACCTCTACAGTCTACTACCCTTCCCACCTCTACAGTCTACTACCCTTCCCACCTCTACAGTCTACTACCCTTCCCACCTCTACAGTCTACTACCCTTCCCACCTCTACAGTCTACTACCCTTCCCACCTCTACAGTCTGCTACCCTTCCCACCTCTACAGTCTACTACCCTTCCCACCTCTACAGTCTACTACCCTTCCCACCTCTACAGTCTACTCCCCTTCCCACCTCTACAGTCTACTACCCTTCCCACCTCTACAGTCTACTACCCTTCCCACCTCTACAGTCTACTACCCTTCCCACCTCTACAGTCTGCTACCCTTCCCACCTCTACAGTCTACTACCCTTCCCACCTCTACAGTCTACTCCCCTTCCCACCTCTACAGTCTACTACCCTTCCCACCTCTACAGTCTACTACCCTTCCCACCTCTACAGTCTACTACCCTTCCCACCTCTACAGTCTGCTACCCTTCCCACCTCTACAGTCTACTACCCTTCCCACCTCTACAGTCTACTACCCTTCCCACCTCTACAGTCTACTCCCCTTCCCACCTCTACAGTCTACTACCCTTCCCACCTCTACAGTCTACTACCCTTCCCACCTCTACAGTCTACTACCCTTCCCACCTCTACAGTCTACTACCCTTCCCACCTCTACAGTCTACTACCCTTCCCACCTCTACAGTCTGCTACCCTTCCCACCTCTACAGTCTACTACCCTTCCCACCTCTACAGTCTACTACCCTTCCCACCTCTACAGTCTACTCCCCTTCCCACCTCTACAGTCTACTCCCCTTCCCACCTCTACAGTCTACTCCCCTTCCCACCTCTACAGTCTACTACCCTTCCCACCTCTACAGTCTACTCCCCTTCCCACCTCTACAGTCTACTACCCTTCCCACCTCTACAGTCTACTACCCTTCCCACCTCTACAGTCTACTACCCTTCCCACCTCTACAGTCTACTACCCTTCCCACCTCTACAGTCTACTACCCTTCCCACCTCTACAGTCTACTCCCCTTCCCACCTCTACAGTCTACTCCCCTTCCCACCTCTACAGTCTACTACCCTTCCCACCTCTACAGTCTACTCCCCTTCCCACCTCTACAGTCTACTCCCATGTAGTGATTTATCCTTGGTAGAACCTACATAATTCATCAATAGGCCTACAGTAAATACACAGGTTATACACTATACACCGAGTGGTGTACTCACCTATTTGTGGTTGCAGGGGTCGATTCACAGCTCCTGGTCCCGGTGTATATCTCTGAGTAGATTCTAATATTTTAGGGACTAAGTGTTGATTCACTGTCCCAGTGATGATTCACTGTCCCAGTGATGATTCACTGTCCCAGTGATGATTCACTGTCCCAGTGATGATTCACTGTCCCAGTGATGATTCACTGTCCCAGTGTTGCTTCACTGTCCCAGTGATGATTCACCGTCCCAATGTTGATTCACTGTTCTAGTGGCGATTCACTGTTCCAGTGGCGATTCACTGTTCCAGTGGCGATTCACTGTTCCAGTGGCGATTCACTGTTCCAGTAATCACTCTGGCACTGTATGTTGTGCCTGGCACTCTCTCACACGTATCAGTGGCAGCCTGTAAGACAATGGGACTCAGTGTGTACCCAGGCGTTAAACTGCGCACTGTCACACAGCAACACTAGCTTCACCTCACACTTACTTTTACCTAAAAATGATTTAGCGGGATTTAATATATTGCCTAACTGCGAGAATGTGTGTGTGTGTGTGTGTGTGTGTGTGTGTGTGTGTGTGTGTGTGTGTGTGTGTGTGTGTGTGTGTGTGTGTGTGTGTGTGTGTGTGTGTGTGTGTAATAACAACAATAACACTTAACAATAATAATATCGTTACCGCTCTTGTTCACCTCTAACAAGTGGCTAAACACGAAGGGGCGGGACCATGAGCTGTGACTCGACTCCTGCAGCCACAAATAGTCGAGGACACTGTATCAGGAGTGTTGAGGCGCCAGTAACAATAGTGTTGTAGTCAAGGAAAACGGGAATATTTACTGGCACAGAAAACGGAAATTCTTAGTTTCCACTAACATAGAAAACGGCATATTACTTTATAAAGCATTGAACCCAGAGTTACTGGGTTCAAATCGAGTCGATTCTCGTTAGAGTCGATTACTCTCTCTTGTTCCATCGTCGTTTGTTTCACATTCTAAAGTTCCATCTTCTATTCAATCATCTATCATTCCACTGTCTATCATACAACCATTGTCTGTCATACAACCTATTGTTCCATCTTCTATTATTCCATCTGTTCTACTCTCTGTTGTTCCATCTTCTGTTATACCATCTATTATTCCATCTGTTTCATTCTCAGTTGTTCCATCTTTTGTTCCACCTACCCGAGTGCTTCCTACCCCAGTTCCTCCTTCATTACTCCCTCCTCCACTCCCTCGCCTCGTCCTTCACTTCCAAATCCAATCAACTCCCTGACACACACGTGTCGTCACGGTTTACACAACACATAACTCAATTGCTGCTTCTGTGCTTCATTACAATCAACTGGAATTTAAATGCATGACACAAGTCTTTCATTATTTTTACCTCTCTCTCTCCTGCCACATCGCTGCCGAGGCGGTGATACTCTCTGATTTACAAACCAGATGGAATATATACTGATGATAAACTTGGCGGTGTGACGGCTGTCCCATGGGACAGTGTGCCTGTTGATTACAAGGTTCGATATGGAGTCAGGAGACGAGGTGAGGTACTTGACAGCCTCGATCTGCAACATCAGGCCTGGTCAAGACCACATAACACCTGCTCTAGACCACATAATACCTGCCCAAGACTACATAAGACTTTTATGCAAAGAAGCATAACACTCAAGAGAGGTGCGACACACCCAGGGAGGTGCGACACACCCAGGGAGGTGCGACACACTCAGTGAGGTGCGACACACCCAGGGAGGTGCGACACCCTCAGGAAGGGGTGTTGGCTGAATTAGAGGTGTTGGTGAGGTGACGATGTTCACCTATTGCCTTGTAGGTGCGCACCGCTCCGCCCATTCACCTTTTTCCCTCTGGGGCCACGCCCGCGCCGCCTACACTTCCCTAACTCCCCACCGCCACACTGCTAGTGTAATCACCAGAGCCTATTGTCATCCACGGGTCTTATTTCAGTGGTTCACCAGGAGAAGGAAAGCAGGTGTGGCTCCCCGGGACCCGTGCCTACAATAAGGGACCCAGACAAATCCCTTGTATATGTTATATGTTAGACCAGACTATGGGTTTATACTGCAGAATGTGTAACATACACTGGTCAGTCAGTGTTGAGTGAGTTTAGGCCGTTTGTTGCTCATTATACTACCAGCAGCTGAATTGCTAAACAATCTAAATTTATCCAGTAAGGCTCGTTCAGACCATCTAAACTTATCCGATAAGGCTCGTTCACGTTTTCGTGGAATTCTTCTCTATATACATCCACTGAACGCTTGGCTATGGCTTCAGTTTAGCTGAAAGTTATAAGAACTATTGACCTGCGGTATGGATATACGTGTTCGGGGAGGCGGGAAATCAGGTTCATCCACTGAATGATACTGTTGCTGCCTTTACCTACACCCTCAGACCAAGCAGGTGTCTACAATGAGACGTTCACTGCTCTTTACTCCTCCCCCAACGTACTTCTTCCACACACATACCCCCTCCCTCTCATGCCCATCCCACATACCCAATCTCTTTGCAGGTTCACAAGGACGCCCAACACCTATGCCCCAGCAACCAACTTTCACCTCTGCTCGGGCGCTATCCTACTGATCCTCATTCAAACCCTAATAGCTAGTAACTATCCTTAACTTGGCTGTCTTCGGGGGGAAAGGAACGAACTTGATAAGTTCCACCAGACCTCATGGTAGTTCAAGGCCTGGTTGATCAGGCCCTGAACCACCATGAGGTCTGGTCTAGGATCGGGTCGCGGGGGCGTAGACCTCCGGAAGCATCCTTCAGGTATCCTGCCTTGTACAGACCTATTGGCCTATACAAGGCAGGTCTAGTGTACATCCAGTCACTGCCACTCATAAATCTATCCAACTTGCTTCGCTTGTTCAGAGTTCTATATTGCTTAGACAGCCTCATCAATTCATCTATTTCCCACTTTATATATGCTTTTCTTTTAATCATATATCTCACGAACATCTTCCCTTTCCGGGAAAGTGTGTTTCTTGGGAACTGTCACCACAGGAGAAATACTCTCGATACCTGGGACTAACGCTGTCATCCTCACAGCATCCTTTCACAGCATGTACGTCCATGCTGTGGAGACCTGAGCTACACTGCAGGATCTGAAGGCAACCTTGTCAGTGGTACATACATCTACTGTACCACATCGGGTCGCCTCCCACATGGTTTTACATAGAGGTAATGTAAGGCACTGCTAGGTACTAGCCTTCAGTTTTCTGCTAGTATCCAGTGTGAGAACACTGTATGTAGACACATACACACGATGATATACACAATTGCTCATCTAACTTTACTACAGATAACGACAGGCATACACACACAGACACAGACAGACAACAAGACAGATGCAAAAGCAACAACGAGACAGATACAGATATAAACACAAGGTGACAAAGTCCAACACAACCAAAACTCTTTGCAGCCTTGTTAGTTCTGACATCTTCAACCACCACGTGTCAATTATTAAGATGTGGGTGTGGGTGGTGGTGTAGTGGTCTTGTGGGTGGTGGTGTAGGTGGTGGTGTGGGTGGTGGTGTGAGTGGTGGTGTGGGAGGTGGTGCGGGAGGTGGTGCGGGAGGTGGTGTAGTGGTCTTGTGGGTGGTGGTGTGGGTGGTGGTGTGGGAGGTGGTGTGGGTAGTGGTGTGGGTAGTGATTTCAAATTAGGGTTATACCAGTGGTGGGGAAGTGCTTACCAGTATTGTACCATTGTTGGAGGAAGCACTAACCAGTGTTGTACCAGTGTTGGAGAAAGCACTAACCAGTGTCGTACCTGTGGTGGAGGGAGTCATGTCAGTCAGCTAGGGAGTAAAGAAGTGTGTCACTAACTCAGAAAAGTAAAAGTCATGTCTGCTGGCTTCAGCGACCCCAATAAAAAAAGCCTGCCCACTCACTGACCTGCTTCTGCTGTCTGCTTCCTCCCTGCCTCCCCCCTTCCCGTCGTTACCTACCTTAACACCCCCGTCAACCCCTGCTTCCCCTTCCTTTGATTCCCCTAGCACACTCCTCTACTCTCCCACGGGAATTCTAGACGTAGTAGAGTTACAGCTCCTGGCTCATCTAAGCCTTCAACTATTGTTGAAGGCTAATATATTCTTCAAGCCTCGAAAAAACAGGTATAAAATAAAACTCTCAGTGTATACACAGAGAGAGAGAGACACACTCTTGGGTGTATTACACAGATGTGAGCCATTCGGAGCATGTACACTTAAGAAATTATTACGAACATAGTGGAAGGCCTCGGCCAGATAACCAAAAGCTCCAGCTGTGGGTCGTCACATGGCTAAAACCCGCGTCAGGAAACACTTGTCATGTATCCTGACATATCTTACACAACTTACCCATCGAACACATATAAAAGGCTGTCGAACCTGGCGGTGGAAGACACTAACGTAAGGGGAGTCGCGACAGGAAGTAAGAGAATGAGAGTTTCGTTGTACACCAGCTGTTACCTTCTAAATTACCCTGTATTACCACCAACAATTTATGTTTACGCTATTTACAGTGACTGTGACAAACACCATAATATGAGTGAGAGAGAGAGAGAGAGAGAGAGAGAGAGAGAGAGAGAGAGAGAGAGAGAGAGCATAATGATATTAACGAAATAAAGTCGATCAAATAAAATCTCTGGCCCACAGCTGGCCCACAGCTGGCCCACAGCTGGCCCACAGCTGGCCAAAAGCTGGGCCACAGCTGGCCCACAGCTGGCCCACAGCTGGCCAACAGCTGGGCCACAGCTGGCCCACAGATAGTTCCAACTTTAGCCTGTTCCATATTTGTTTCATAACAATAAAATAATGTAAAATGAGCTGATGTAGGTAACAACTCTTAACTGGTAGATAAAGTTAGGAACCTTAACCTAACCTTGTAAAACCCTGCATGAGAGAGAGATTCATACAGAAAAACATAAGGAGGAACACTGCAATAGGCCTACTGGCCCATATTAGGCAGATCCTTCTCAAACCCAAACCCACTAACAAAAACATTTGCCCCTTTTCAATGCTACTATAAGCATTATCTTGGGGATTAAAGTAAATTTAGGGTCTGAATTTTGGGTATCTTGGACCTAGTACGGTGGTACCCATCCAGGGACGCCCCTGGATGTAAGGTAACCTACCCTGGAGCCCTCCTCCTCACCCTGATTGGCAGGCCTCCAGCAGCTACCCTGCATCAACTAATATCAATTTTCAAAGGGGGTGAATCGGGTAAGCCAGCGGAAGGCCTCGGTCAGGTGACCAAAAGCCCCAGTGGCGGGTCATCGTATGACTAACACCCGCGTCAGGACACACAACATTAACACGCTTCTGAAGGAGGAGTGTTAATGTTACAGTTTTATAACTGTAGTGCAAGACAGTGATGGAGTGAATGATGGTGAAAGTTTTTCTTTTTCGGGCCACCCTACTTTGGTGGGAGACGGCCGATGTGTTAGTTGTGGTTGCAGGGGTCGAGTCATAGCTCCTGGCCCCGTGTGTGTGTGTGTGTGAGCGTCAAGTCTATGCAGAGGCTTGCACCAACAGTCTCCTCATACAGTTTATTGAGGCTTGCACCAACAATCTCCTCATACAGTTTATTGCAAACCTTGAGCATTTATTGCACCAGTACGAAACAGCCGAGTGTATAAGGGACCATCAGATTGTACAAGGGACCATCTAAGTGTACAAGGGACCATCGGAGTGTACAAGGGACCATCAGACTGTACAAGGGACCATCAGAGTGTACAAGGGACCATCTGAGTGTACAAGGGACCATCTGAGTGTACAAGGGACCATCAGAGTGTACAAGGGACCATCTGAGTGTACAAGGGACCATTTGAGTGTACAAGGGACCATCTGAGTGTCCAAGGGACCATCAGAGTGTACAAGGGACCATCAGAGTGTACAAGGGACCATCTGAGTGTACAAGGGACCATCTGACTGTACAAGGTGTATGTATGGTCTCTTGTTCTCGTTCCTCTCGACTCACATAGTCTCTCCTTGTCCATCTGTTGTGTGTGTGTGTGTGTGTGTGTGTGTGTGTGTGTGTGTGTGTGTGTGTGTGTGTGTGTGTGTGTGTGTGTGTGTGTGCGCGCGCGCGTGTGTGTGTATGTGTGTGTATGTGTGTGTGTGTATGTGTGTGTATGTGTATGTGTGTGTGTGTGTGTGTGTGTGTGTGTGTGTGTGTGTGTGTGTGTGTGTGTGTGTGTGTACTCACCTAGTTGAGGTTGCAGGGGTCGAGTCCAAGCTCCTGGCCCCGCCTCTTCACTGGTCGCTACTAGGTCACTCTCCCTGAACCATGAGCTTTATCGTACCTCTGCTTAAAGGTATGTATGGATCCTGCCTCCACTACATCGCTTCCCAAACTATTCCACTTCCTGACTACTCTGTGGCTGAAGAAATACTTCCTAACATCCCTTTGATTCATCTGTGTCTTCAGCTTCCAACTGTGTCCCCGTGTTGCTGTGTCCAGTCTCTGGAACATCCTGTCTTTGTCCACCTTGTCAATTCCTCTCAGTATTTTGTAAGTCGTTATCATGTCCCCCCTATCTCTCCTGTCCTCCAGTGTCGTCAGGTTGATTTCCCTTAACCTCTCCTCATAGGACATACCTCTTAACTCTGAGACTAGTCTTGTTGCAAGCCTTTGCACTTTCTCTAGTTTCTTTACATGCTTGGCTAGGTGTGGGTTCCAAACTGGTGCCGCATACTCCAATATGGGCCTAACGTACACGGTGTACAGGGTCCTGAACGATTCCTTATTAAGATGTCGGAATGCTGTTCTGAGGTTTGCCAGGCGCCCATATGCTGCACCAGTTATTTGGTTGATGTGCGCTTCAGGAGATGTGCCTGGTGTTATACTCACCGCAAGATCTTTTTCCCTGAGTGATGTTTATAGTCTCTGGCCCCCTAGAATGTACTCCGTCTGCGGTCTTCTTTGCCCTTCCCCAATCCTCATGACTTTGCACTTGGTAGGATTGAACTCCAGGAGCCAGTTGCTGGACCAGGTCTGCAGCCTGTCCAGATCCCTTTGTATTTCTGCCTGGTCTTCGATCGAATGAACTCTTCTCATCAACTTCACGTCATCTGCAAACAGGGACACCTCGGAGTTTATTCCTTCCGTCATGTCGTTCACAAATACCAGAAACAGCACTGGTCCTAGGACTGACCCCTGTGGGACCCCGCTGGTCACAGGTGCCCACTCTGACACCTCGCCACGTACCATTACTCGCTGCTGTCTTCCTGACAGGTATTTCCTGATCCATTGTAGACTACGCCTTCCCTGTTATCCCTGCTTGGTCCTCCAGTTTTTGCACTAATCTCTTGTGTGGTACTGTGTCAAACGCCTTCTTGCAGTCCAAGAAAATGCAATCCACCCACCCCTCTCTCTCTTGTCTTACTGCTGTCACCATGTCATAGAACTCCAGTAGGTTTGTGACACAGGATTTCCCGTCTCTGAAACCATGTTGTCTGCTGGTGATGAGATCATTCCTTTCTAGATGTTCCACCATTCTTCTCCTGACAATCTTTCCATGATTTGCATGCTATACATGTCAGTGACACTGGTCTGTAGTTTAGTGCTTCATGTCTGTCTCCTTTTTTAAAGATTGGGGACCACATTTGCTGTCTTCCATGCCTCAGGCAATCTCCCTGTTTCGATAGATGTATTGAATATTGTTGTTCGGGGTACACATAACGCCTCTGCTCCCTCTCTCAGGACCCATGGAGAGATGTTATCTGGCCCCATTGCCTTTGAGGTTATCTGCTCACTCAGAAGCCTCTTCACTTCTTCCTCGGTTGTGTGTACTGTGTCCAGCACATGGTGGTGTACCCCACCTCTCCGTCTTTCTGGAGCCCCTTGTGTCTCCTCTGTGAACACTTCTTTGAATCTCTTGAGTTCCTCACATACTTCACGGTCATTTCTTGTTGTCTCTCCTCCTTCCTTCCTTAGCCTGATTACCTGGTCCTTGACGGTTGTTTTCTTCCTGATGTGGCTGTATAACAGCTTCGGGTCAGATTTGGCTTTTGCTGCTATGTCGTTTTCATATTGACGTGGGCCTCCCTTCTTATCTGTGCATATTCGTTTCTGGCTCTACGACTGCTCTCCTTATTCTCCTGGGTCCTTTGCCTTCTATATTTCTTCCATTCCCTAGCACACTTGGTTTTTGCCTCCTTGCATCTTTGGGTGAACCATGGGCTCATCCTGGCTTT